CACTGCTCCTGCCAGTGTAATGCACTAGCCCCCGGCTCTTCTGACAGCCCCACATGTGGTGTTCTCCCCGTTCAGCAGGCAGCAAGGTTAAAAGTTTGTCAACATGAGCAAGCTGGGCTGATTTTTAAGCTGACTCAGTTTTCAAACAAGGTCTTGGGCTCAGTCCCACCAGGGCATGCGTCAGCTTCAATTATTTCCTGATAGATTTGGATCATAAACAGAAAAAAAGCTTCGTTTAGACCATAAGATGAGTGTCCAGCTCTGCCTTTGGCACCGCATCAGCTAAATCCCTTCTTCTGCACAAGTGTTTTGTGCAACCCAGGGTAGTTCTTGTATGCTGGGGGTCAGGCCTGGGGCTGCTCTGGAGCCTCCTGCAAAGCTCTCGGGAGGAATTGCAGAGGTTTAGGAAAGTACCTAAAGAAAGGAGGCTCTTGAGGCAGAGAGGCTTGTGTCTCACCCATGGGCAGATAAAGTGCAGTGATGGGAACGAGATGTGCAGAAGCAAGGAGCCTGACCCCAAAATAATGTGTCTTATGAAGGCTCTGAAATGGGCTGTTTATTTATCCTAGTGCTAAACTGGGGCATTTATCTACAGACCAGCGTGGAAAAGACCATACTTTTGTGTCTGGCTCATACCCTCATACAGTACTGAGACCAGAAGGAGATGCATGAGTTGCTGTGCACCTAAGTTATGTTCTCTAAATCATTATTTTAAAACCCCAAAATAGAAGTAGCCCAATACCTGCAGGGCTTATGAGTTGAGCTTGATTGTGAAGAAAAAAGGGCTGAAGGAGTGGACTGGTTTAGATAATCATGTGAAGGATGAGCTGGCTGTGGCCACTGATGTAGAGAGATAAGACTGAAAATATGTTTTGCTCTGCTCTAGCATCTTGGAACCCTTGATGTGTTTTATTGGTGTTGGTGGATGATTTGCTGGGTTCTGTTGAGGGAATTTATTTGGGCTGAATTTCTCAGAAATTGGCTTTATGTGAAGTTCAGGTCTTGAGCTTCCACCAGCTGTCTGGACACACCGCTCAGGAGGTCTGGCAGCTGCACACCAAGGGCCAGTGTGAGCATGCTGCTTGGGGGAAAAGTTTCTTATCAGAGAAAGAAGATGGTCCTGCCACGTTTGTACCAGCAAAAAACTTGTTTCTTTTACTTTCTCAGCTTTTTTGCCACATTCATCTTGTGAATTATTTCACTTCCCCAACAGTTTAGTTGTTGGGATAATACTGGAGACAATTAAATTCAAATTGTCTCTTTCAGGTTTATATTGGAGGCAGTTTGCAGCGCTGAATTGCAACGTGGTGGCCACTCACTCCGCAGCATTTTAGCATGTTTCCTTTTTTAACAAGAGTTTTTCCATGCAATGCATTGAGGACTTGGATATGGAAACCCCTGTGCAGTGCTGAGGGCGGACGCTGTTATTTCAGGGGTTGTTGCAATGCTTTGCAAGGGTAACAGCTGGAAAAAAAAATAAAAATAGATTAAACAAAAGCTGATGGCACCAGGCAGCTTGCTGTGGATACTATTCAGGGGGGTTGGAACTAGATGATCTTTAAGGTCCCTTCCAACCTAAGCCATTCTGTGATGATTCTGTGATTATGCAAAGGTTAAAAAAAGTAGGTAGGTGTCAAAATTCATGGTGTTTTCTTCTCACATTAGGGATAGTGGTTACATGATGAGGAAGGTGTTGCTGGCAGAGAGCAAATGGAGAGCAGTTAGAGGGAGCAGCTATACCATTGCCTTCCCAAAACATTTTGAGGCTTTAATTAAAGAATGGCTGCGACGTGTTTCCAGACCTTCCAGCGGAAAACATGAAATAAAATCTTCTCTTTTATTATTTTTTCTGTACTAATTTGACAGGCTGAGCCTCCTCAGGTTCATCCATCCCCGAGCCTAGAGCACTAGATATTTCTTGCCGCAGGGTTGCCAGCGGGAGGGGAGGTTTCGGCGTGCCTGAGGTTTAGCATAGGCTGAGATCCTGTTGAAATTTGCGGGATTAAAACCCTCATTTGAAGTTAAGCACGGTGATAAATGAGGCGTTGAAAAGTATGGGTTAAAATATGCTCTTAAACGCATACTTCCTCCTCTGCAAACTGGGAAACAGGAGGGATGGCCATCAAACACGTAGCGAGCTCAGATGTGAAGTGGCTCCTGCTCGCGCTGTTTCCAGCTCGTGCTGACGTGGCGGTTTCTCTACGCCGTGTCCTGTTGATATCTGTGGATCCAGAGTTTCCACCTGAGCTGCCGAAATGGCCTGATGGAGGCGGGGGGGGGGGGCGGG